ATCTATTTTTAGGGCATTTGTTTTATCATCTCTTCTATACTCTTCGTCGATAAAGTTTAAAAATAATACAACCACATCACGATTTCTTGCTTCGCACGCTTGGATACAGTTCGTCATTACTTTTAATATCAGATTTCTATAGTTATATAGATCTGGCCTTTCAGTTATGCTATTATATTCACTATACAATCCATTTAATGTTACGGAGCTGGTGTCGATTTCGGAATCAAACTGAAATTGTTTTAGATTCTTTTTTGCATTGACGAATGAAGTTTGCAGTGCTCTATAGAATGTTGGCCAGAATTCGTCAACGCTTAATGCATTACCGTAGCCAGCTACAAATTCGGCGACTGGCTCCCATATTAACTTAAAATTCATATACAAAACCCCTAACATATAATCAAGGGCAAACAGATGAAAATTTGTTTCCTTCGCCAAAGCATACTGTGTCGTGTTAAACGCCATTTTGTGTAGAATGTTTATTTGAGTTCTGTATTCTTGTATGGAAGGTGTTATTGATTCCACAGCATAACACATACTGAATANTACAAATTCGGCGACTGGCTCCCATATTAACTTAAAATTCATATACAAAACCCCTAACATATAATCAAGGGCAAACAGATGAAAATTTGTTTCCTTCGCCAAAGCATACTGTGTCGTGTTAAACGCCATTTTGTGTAGAATGTTTATTTGAGTTCTGTATTCTTGTATGGAAGGTGTTATTGATTCCACAGCATAACACATACTGAATATTGAAAATCTTTCAATGTTACCATTGATCTCTGCTGACTTACACAATTCTTCTATATTTTCGAATAATTTATATATGTGTGTTGTCAAAAGGCGCACCTGAAATAAAATGAAAGAGTTTTAGGTAGTAGAGTTTTAGTAAGAGTTGAGGTACAACATTAATACTGTTTTATTTTATTCTATTTAATTTACTCACAATATGAAATGGCGATGACACGTTGACTCTCAAATAAGAGTCGACCAAAGATAGAAACGGATAGCTTAGTCCGTTTTCATGTTCGTATGCCGTTAGATACAAGTCAAGCAAATGCAGAGCACCCAGATAGTTTGGATCGGCCGCGCATGGCAGAATGATTGGTAACAATCTTTCTATATCACATATCTCTGCCACATTCTTACAGCTGGATATGTGAACAGCGCTTTCTATACAATTTGCTACTATGAATATAATATTTCTGGCGCATCGCGATAATGCTGTGTTATCACAGTGAAATCTGTTTGCGTCCAGTTGACTTTCCAAATTGTAAGAAAGTAATATCTTTAACAGTTTAGAAATTAATTCACTCAATGTTTTTATACAATAATCCACATCGATGTTTTTAACATGCGGCACACAGAACAAAACATTCGCTAATTTTAATGGGTTCTCCAACATTTGTTCAGTGTTACCATTTATAACAGTTTCAAAATATTCCATGAATTTTGAAAGATTGGGACCGAAATCAATAGGATATTTGACCCATTCAAACAATTTGATTCCATTCATTGATAGAGGAGATTTTTTGACACAGATCTTACTCAAAGTGCACATTGCGTCATTGTCAAATCCGGATTGGACAACGTATTTGATAAAAGGTGGCAATATGTGCATATCAAACTGAGAATAATCAATCACATTTCGAACGAATTTCGTTAAGATATTTGGGAATGGCAAAGGCAATAATACTTTAACAATGATGCTGGCATGTTCCTGTGATAAAGATACATTCGGTGAAAGTAGTAATATTGCCCCAATTTGGGAACAAACTTCAAGTACTATTTCTGATGACTGCTCACATATGACCTTTATCAATAACAAAACAAATTGTGGTGGGTTGATTAAGAACTTTCCATTCTGATGCTCAATTACTTGACCGGCTAGCCTCAAAATGTATTCTAGTCCTTTAGTTTCTTCATCACCTTCTTTCAATATTTCTTCAATAAATTTTAGGATACATGTCCAAAATATAGTAAATTCCTTATATGATATGCTGTGTAAGCTATCCTCTATAGTTTGTGTGAGTACTTTGAATAGGGTATCCTGATGTGCTTTGCTTTCTTTTAAGTATTGTAGTAGTATAGGTAGAAATGTTTCAATGCAGCTGTGAAATTTTCCACTGACTCCTCTTATAATTTCAAATAAAAGATGACCACAACCTATTATCACCTGAAAATCAATTAACCTCATAAGTTTTACTTGCAATTTTCTATAAAATTGTTTTTTCTTCGAATCTATAATATAGTAAAGAAATAAACTATAATTTACAGTGCATTAGATATTGAAGTCTTTTTTTTGTTCCATAGGTAGGTTGATGAGGTAGTGGGCCACCTGAGATAAAGTAATTACCAGATGTCATCAATTTCAGAGAACCACTCATCCTGAAACTTGAGGTCAGTCTCAATTATATTGTATGATGGTTGTCTCATTCTTCATACCAGTACCTACAATAGACCAGACAAACTGCTCTGTGTTAGAAATTAGTGGGATGGCACTATCTGCTTATGTATGCTTACATTACAATACTGCTGCTGCCAATAGATAAAACTTGGTGATTGTTTAATGCTGTATATGATACTGCCCATTATCTCATGAATCTTTTTTACAAGATGCACTAGGAGAGAAGAGGTGGTCATATCATATCACATCACTTCATACTTACATCATCATTATTTTCTAAATAAGTTAAGATTAGATTTATAAACTTCTTCTTGTCCCTTATATCACGAGCAACAAATGCAAAACTCTCCGCTGCAAAATTATTAATATACTGAGGTTTATTCTCACTCAGCAAGGGAACAATGCTCTTCAATATTACAGCAATATCCTTTTTCATGTAAGGTTTCAGGATTTTGAATAAAAATGCCAAACATATAAGTGTCCATTCTAGTTGTTCTGCATTTTTTGTATTTAGCAATTTTATAAGTACATCAAGGAATTTCGGAAAGTGTGGATAGAAATCATCTCGTAGATCTTTAGCAGCAGCTACAAGAATTCTGTTAACAAAAAAAAACAAACATATTCTAAACCATATTCGACAAAATTAAGAATAAAAATATTGAGCTAGATTGTATGTGTAAAGGTTTTGTTATGATGCTTTAGTTAGCTTGACTGTCTATTCAATTTTATCCAAAGAGTACATAAAGGGCTAATGAAAAGATATTTTACTACTTTGGCCCATAAACTATTATAGTATCTTAAGTACTTAAAAAAATTTGGTCAAGTCAAAGTAATGTTTGCTATAAATGTGTTCTTTTTTTGTTTTTAAGCTGCACTCTTTCATTTTCATTATTTTTATACAGTTAATAATAATATAATAATAATAATCCAAATCAAAAAACCAAAAACTCTTATCTACTGTTATCAATTATATAAACACATATAAAACAATAACTAAAACCAGGTTCTGCATTTCCTATATTTTCAGAACTCAGTGACAATTCTTAAAATCCTAATGTAGACCTACAGCATCTCTAATAGAATTTTCTCTAAATATCTGATGACACAGACAACTCGATCCAATTCTCTATTACAAATAATTTTTCAAGGTACAACACTCTCTCCTTGCACCCAGGAGGAGACACACTTTCTCACACCTATCTCTTTTTAAGCTTGTTATACTCACTCAAGAAGTGGCTGCAAACACAATTGATCTTCAAGTTTCAAATATTTTTCCAAAATTTCTAGTACTTCGACTTTCTTATGAAGTAGTTGTGGTACAGTAATAATTCCAAAGACCTCCTTCTTAAACCTTTTAAAATTATCTGTTAGGTTCAGAACGTGCCATTTTTGTATCGCCAAATTGAAATGTGTCTCGTTCTCGTCTGGTTGTCTGCTGTAAGCGTGTTCAATGTGGTACAGGGCAGCATGTCGAATATCAATAGAATTTATTCGCTCAGAAAACGGCACAAACTAAAACAGAACAATTTAATATAACCTTCAAAACTTTAAATAAATTGAGAAGAATGTAGTACTAAGAATATTTACTCGAAAAGTATTCGTAGTTTTGTGTTTAACAGGTTTACTCTTCATTTTTATATTAAATTGTGCAATTAGCGTAATTCAAATAAATTCCACATTTCTTTATCAACAAAATGTAAACATAAGCACATTGTCAAATTGACAAATTTGACAATACTGAATATTGTAGAGTTGTGTAGCTTCTGAGTGAGTGACTTGTAGAAGCTATGTCAGTGATCCGGATTTAAAAAAAATTACTCACCCTAGCACCAAATATTTATCACCGGCCACAGCGACTTTTCACTATTTATCAATATTAGGGCTATACGACACGTTGTAAGTTGAAGGATTTACGATTTACATATTTCACGCAAATATTAAATCATAACCTTAATTAAGTTTAATGTAACTTGACATTGTTCGAAAATAAAGTTCTAGTTGTTTTAATGAGCTTGATCATGATGCTAAAAACTAAAAAATATATATTTAAAGATATTGTCAACTCAAAAGTTTTAACATGTTAAGTATGAAAAAAAAACAACTGCCGACATTTACCTGTAGCCCGTAACTTACTTTAATTTTACTAAGACACGGAATTGAGTTGATGGAAAGAATGAGTAAAAGCTTTTTTCTTTATTATTTCAATTCTGAGCGAGAGTTTTCATTTAAATTGAGCTTAACTAATTTATGTGTATTATCTGTGATTGAGCTAGCTATCTTTATTATTAAGTTAGTCTGAGTTGATTGAGAAACATAAGCTAAATGATAAAAATAGTAAAATATTTCATTGTTTCAAAAATGCATGTGATCCATTTAACAGATCAGTGATATATTTTGTGAAACACTAGAATATTGACATGCAATATTACAATGACAGTATTGAATTTTGTCATTTGACAATCTTGAAATCGAAATAATGTCAAAAAGCTGACAAAATCATAGTCAGCAAGAGTTGATAGTTGATAAGTGTAGGTAATATCTAAGAGCAAGAGTAAGGTGACCGTCTATTTGTTAGGCTTGTTTAATCTGTCCATCATCCCTCAACGGGTATTCGTGACTGATAAGAACAAAAGACTGATTATAATTTGTGTAGTTAAACAACAAAAAATCTGTGATTTGAGATTAAACACCACTAGATATTTTGTAATGACCAACAAAAACATCATCAATAAACTTTATTCTTTTTAAAAAAACTTATTCAATGCTTGCCAGATTCGTAAATTCGTTGCCGTCTGGCCTTTCTCAGCGAATAACTAAACTTTATTTTCGAGGTATGTAGTATATTATTATTTTAAAAAAGGTTGAAAACTCGCCGACTAATTAGTTGCACTCCTAACAACATATTAATGAAAATTGTTTAAAGCGGTATTGAATAAAAAATTGTGATTAACACACCCATACGTCGTCGACCGCGGCATAAACCGGTAATTTTATAAACTCTCTATTATTAATTTTTACTGGCTACTGGTAACTGTTTTAAGCTCAAATGTTACCCAAGCAATTTACCACCAGCCATCCACTAAAAGTAAAAGTCTAAAAAACAGAAAACAATTTTTTTCCAGCGTTAATTCGCAATCAAAGGGAAGCTCACAGTTCCCAAGAGGACCACCAGTATAAAAACATGGATGTAAAAATCCTGCCAGCACTCCAGGACAACTACATGTACTTGATTGTAGACAAGGCAACAAAGGAAGCTGCTATTGTTGATCCTGTGGAACCTAAAACAGTTTTAAAAGCTGTTGAAGAACAGGGTGTGAATTTGACTACTGTTCTAACTACTCATCATCATTGGTAATTTTTATAAACAAACAGCTACCTTGATGATATAAGTTGCCCGATTATTTTAACTTTCAAATGGAGCATGTCAGGGAACCTTTCTTGAAACAAACATGAATAAAACAACATATTTTGTAAATTCATTGAAAGCAACTGCAATGATGGAAATCCTCTTTTGACTCTACACCAGCTGAGTTCAATTTGTATTTTGCAGACAGTGCTGTCTTCATAAATAACACCTTAATTTGGCTTATATTCATATTCACTAAAAAGTCTGAGGATTGTTCCCATAATGCATTATGTACTAGTGGCTAAAATATGTAGTAACCTCAGGCTCAGGCATGTATTCCAAATCATTAAATTACTAAATTTAGTCAAACATCCTATTGACTCATTTATTTTACTTTGTTAAATCAAACAATAATAAAAATGAACTTTCCTATAAACTCTTAAAAACATTGTCTTATCTAGGGATCATGCTGGTGGAAATGAAGATCTCATCAAAGAACGTCCAGGTTTAATAGTTTATGGAGGTGACGACAGGATCGGAGCCCTTACGAAAAAAGTTGAGCACAATACAAAGTTTAATATCGGTAACCTGAATGTACAGTGTCTTTTTACACCCTGTCATACAACTGGGCATATATGTTATTTCGTAACTGCTCCAGAAGAAGGTAACGATTCAGTTGTCTTCACCGGTGAGTGTAGTAAATATAAATATGTAATTAAAACATACATACATTACAACCCAGTATATTAATGAATGATGTATCATTTTGTGGAGTTTAATGTTTATATAAAACTTCACTCTGAAAATAGATAAATTATAGAATAAATAGTCTGAAAACTATAATTGTATAAATTACACTAAAAATCTATTTACACAGTAATAATATTGATAATTTAACTTGAACACACTACATATTCTGAGAATGAGTTTTAATTGAAATTTATTTCAATGATATTGTAGTATAAGTGTAGTTATCATGCTAAACTTAGTAAAAATAATTATAAACTCTTAAATCATTTTCATTTTCAGGGGATACACTCTTCTTAGGCGGATGTGGCAGGTTCTTTGAAGGCACGGCAGATCAAATGTACAAAGCATTAATAACAATTCTGAGCAGCCTGCCTGACCACACTAAAGTGTTTTGTGGCCATGAGTACACTTTGCAGAATTTAAAATTTGCTGCTCACGTAGAACCTACTAATGAGAATGTCAAAACCAAAATTAGCTGGTCTCAAGACAGGCGAAACCAGGGAAAGCCCACAGTATGAAACACAATTATACATCATATATTATTTAAAGTAGTCAAAAATGTTCATAGGTTGGCTACACTAAGTAAGCAGTAGGGCGTGTTGTTAACCCACATTTTTTATTTTTTATTTTTTTTATTGCTTAGTTGGATGGACGAGCTCACAGCCCACCTGGTGTTAAGTGGTTACTGGAGCCCATAGACATCTACAACGTAAATGCGCCACCCACCTTGAGATATAAGTTCTAAGATCTCAGTATAGTTAGAACGGCTACCCCACCTTTCGAACCGAAACGCATTACTGCTTCACGGTGGAAATAGGCGGGGTGGTGGTACCTACCCGTGCGAACTCCCAAGAGGTCCTACCACCAGTATAAACCACATGGGTTGGTGCCACCGCCCTGCCTTTTTCTGCCATGAAGCAATAATGCATTTTGGTTGAAGGGTGGGGCAGCCATTGTACTATAAAACTGAGGAGGCTTAGAACTCGTGCCTCAAGGAGGGTGGCATTTACGTTTTTCATGTCTATGGGCTTAGGTGATAACACCAGGTAGGCCGCGAGCTCGTTCACCCATCTGAGCAATTAAAAAAAGAAGCTGATTTGCCTTGTGTTAGCATACCTCAGGAATTTACCAAATTCAAATCGGATTAAGAACCATCAGTAATACTGACTAGAATTCAGTTTTTTTTTTTGTACTTTGGATTATTTTTTAAAGTTGTTTACAATGTACATTCTATCCAGTCGCGAGAGACAAATAAAAATGATATTCTTAATATTTCAGGTGCCTTCTACGATAGGTGAAGAGAAATTATACAATCCATTCATGAGGGTCACTGAGTTGGCAGTTCAGAATCACACTGGAAAAAATGATCCGATTGATACTATGAAAGCAATACGGCTAGAAAAAGATACATTTAAGTAAATCTCTTTTTATACAAATAAAAAAAACTGTTGCATTTCTGGAGCATATATTGGTGTTTATTTTTGTATATTCAATAAATTGTTTTCTTTTATTAAATTTTATTTCATTTATAATGCCANCACTGAGTTAGCAGTTCAGAATCACACTGGAAAAAATGATCCGATTGATACTATGAAAGCAATACGGCTAGAAAAAGATACATTTAAGTAAATCTCTTTTTATACAAATAAAAAAAACTGTTGCATTTCTGGAGCATATATTGGTGTTTATTTTTGTATATTCAATAAATTGTTTTCTTTTATTAAATTTTATTTCATTTATAATGCCATTTAATTTACATACCTGATGGATATTAGATAAAAACAAGGTATGGTAGTAGTACTGCCCCACCCTTCAAACCAAAACGCGTTGTAGCTTCATGGCAGAAATAGGCAGGGTTTTGGTACCAACTTGTGTGAGCTCACAAGACTCCCTACCACTAGTAAATGGAGTCCAGTGACCACTTAACATCAAGTGGGCCACATCTCATTCAACTGCTAAGGCAATTAATAATAAGTCACTTCTTCAATCCTAGACTCAATGGTGCCTTAGGTACCTAGTGCACATTCCATTATTCTTATTGCCTCAAATTAATATTTTTAGTTTCAAGACTATTTCGTCTTATTGGAACCCACGAATCAAATAATTACCACTACCCTACTTCCAAACACTGCTATTACTGTATGACAAAATCCATATATGATTTCTGGTAAGCCTATATATTTGGATCTAAAAAAAGGAACATTAGTATTTAATTTATTTTTCACACTACTCTTGTTTCTAAACCATTCATCTAATTGTACTGCTGTAATACAGAACACAGGATTATGTTGCTGGATTTCGGATGATCCTGAAAGTTCTGATGATTCTGTTATAGAGGAAGACACGCAAGTAATTTTAAGAATTTGATGTTTTTCATATTGTTGCTCAGGTTTTACTAGTCTCATAGCCCTGGAGATCTTATATCTCTAAATCTTAGGGATATTGAATATTAATTATAATATTAGTTTTTCCTAGTTTGCTGTTTATTAATCTAAGATATATCAACCTGCGAACATAAGCTGATAAACCTTACAATGACATTATCAAATTTTTTTTTATTGGCTTGTATGCTACCCACCTCATGGTGAGTGGTTACCGTTGCCATGGACTTCAGCAATGTCAGGGACAGAGCCAAGCTGTTGCCTACCATTAAATACTCTCCACAAGCATCGTTTGAACAAGTACATGTCATAGCACTCAGTAAACACCGCAGAGGGGAGCACATTCCAAAGCTGGATGGTACATAGCAAAAAAGATCTCTAGAAACTGATTGTGGATGAGCGCAGTGGCTCCAGGTTGTATATCCGAACTCTACTCTGGTGGAGGGTGGTGCGATGAACTGTAATGATGAAAACGAGTTAATCGAATCATCATCAATCATCATCGATCATCTCAAACAAGACATCTCAATTAAAAAAACAGATTTATAAAACATTGTATTTACAAAATTTAACCTAGACTTAAAGCTGATATCACAATAGAATTTAATACTATTGCCGGTACATCATTGTTCCTTTTTGATATTATATGCTGTCATTTCTTCTGCATATTTCTCTTTTGACCTCTCAAACATTGCGACATATACCTAGAAAATAATATAAAAGTAAACAGTTTTAGTTCTCCAACACTAAGTGAACAATTTGTGATTACTTCTGTATTTTATTATAATTATACACATTATAATTTAACTAACATACCCTTTTTTCATCATTCGTCAAAGCTCTCCATCTTGATGCCAATTGTCTAGTAACTTCTTGTTTGGATGGTTCTGCACCTACTTCTGAATTAGCTTCAGCAACTACTAAAGGCCTCTGTTCTTGACAAAATTGGAAAAATGCATTACAAGGTTTCTTTGGAGCATTAGGATCTTTTTCAGGCTGTAAAGTAAATTGATTTAAATTAGCTTCACAATAAGATGCAGATTCTTATATAATTATTTACATGACTTAAACTTTAATACATTTTAAGATTAATCTACATAAAATTATTTAAAATACATAAATAATAGACCTTCTCTGCCTTTGTTTTTCGTTTGGCTCCTGTTTTTTTTCCTCCGTTTTGTTTGTCGGTTTGTTTGGCGACTGGTTGTACTTTCGCTACAGGACGAGCAGGTCTCTGGACAGTCTCAGATTTCGTATCCATTTCCAATACAGCGCTCCTAAAAGGATCGCCATGTCTGTCCAACCTTTCAATCACTAACTTAATATCTTTACGGTACCTTTTAGTCACTTTTTTCACTTCGTGTATCCTATAAGAACATTACACGTTATTAATTCCACATTAAATCACTATAGTAACAAATACGACACGAAAATTGAACCTGTTTATGATTCTTTCGTTATCCTGTTGCAAGACTTCACATCGTTCCAATAACAGTTGATATTTTCGTCTATAAATTTCTTCTTCGGGCGGTAAACTAACCATATCATCTGAGTCGTCAGAATTATTTGAGTTGAGCTGTTGTACTGTCATTTTAATTTATTTCTCAGCTTCAAAGTTCACCACGATCAAGTTTCTTTGTCGGTTGTCGCTTGTCAGAAAATATGTTCTAAGTGTTGGTACAACTGGGGATATTGTATGTAATCTATGGCTAGGACTATCTCCCTTTTGGGACTCCACATTTTCCAAATTCACTTAAATTTACATGATGCCAGTTGGTGCAGAATATCAGTGTGCCCCAAAAAAGCACTCTAGGAATCCATTTTGTACTAGATCAAAAACTTGTAGAAACTCGATGGATTGTTTAATACTATGTAATGTGAAAAGAAATATTGAGCGCAATGAAATAAAATTAATCTGTCTAAAAAACTGAACATTGGATTAAAGGACTAAAATTTTGTGATGTACTTGAGAAGGAATGTCCAATTTAATTTTTCCAATTACTTTTACACATACATACCAAATGGTTAATAAGCTACTATGATTACATCTTAAACCTGAAACAACCTGAAGGCATTAAATTCACCGCTCGCATTCACGACCTTTGATGTGCTTACTTAGGTTCATTTTTGTTATGGTACCAAAAACAGAAAGAGTTTTAACAGATAGATTATTAGAATAATTAGATAGATTCGAATAGCAATATGGAGCATAGTAAGTAGTTCGGTGTTGCTGAATCCTTTGCTATTTTTTTTTTTTTTACAGGGAAAACAGGAGGGAAAAACCCATCGTGGACACCCAGCACTACCCGGGCTCGGGCAGCGCTGGACTCCAACCAGCTAAAACCTCCAATTCTGTCTTCACAATTTTTTTCCCATGTCGTTGACATGGCTCTTAATATTACGTTTAAATTTATTTATTTATTTTTATGTTTTACCTAATGTAAGGGCTATGGATCGGGAGTTTTTACTTAATTTTTGCGTACAATCTGACAATCCTAAAGCTTACACATCTATTTTTATATTTCTCAGGTTATAATCCTTTGCTATTCTAACGTTTCAAATGAAAACACTATATCTGTAAGCATTCCTGTTTATTCAGAAATCATAAGTAATGGGAATGCTATAACGTAGTGATTACTTGCTCAGTGGGGAATGCAACCAGGAAACAGACATCAACATAAACGATTAAAGGATGGAAGTATTGGAGCAAAAATATTTGGGAGCTCTATAAGAAACTAAAACGAGCAGGAAAGCCAGTGGTAGCTACTCGCTTTCAATGACTAAGTATATAATTTTTATATATTTAAATAAATATATTTTTTGTTTAGGTGATTTTCTGGAATCGGTATGACTTGAATTTGAATCAACGAAAAAGACATTAAAAAGATAAAGATTGACGTCTATAGAATTTAGCCTGTGAGAGAATGTTATTACCTATATTCAATGTTGCGGAAGTCTCTACTTTGTCATCGAAGCCTAAAGTCTTGCAAATTTTATTTAAACCATAGTGTATCCTAAAATCATTACGATAGAGGCAGACTATATTTAAAATACACATTGAAAATAGGCGTAGCTTAAATTGGCGGGAATTATTTTGTTCTTAAAACGTAGGTACTCGAACGAATCGCGTTTGCGCGGTACTAAGCCTGTTTCCCGGGTTAATACATCGATCGTATCGTTGCAGAATAATACCATATCAATTTCGTTCAGTTGACTGCGCCGTCCACACTGCATTAAGCTTTAGTCATAAGTTTTAGAGTATTTATTGAGTTTATGTTGCAGTATTTGTGCATAATTCATTGATTTATAATGTGAAATCAATAAAAAATAGCCGTGTTTTTGAAAAAAATGATCAGCAATGAAATATGTTCCGGTGCTTGCAAAACGAACTATGTTTACCTATTTCATAATAATGTTCCTATTATATTTGTTTTATACGATAAATTTTTGTATAGTTGACAAACAGGTATACCTACATAATTTTATTCAGCCTAACTAAACAACTTATTGACTTATTATTTTATGTAAACATCGTTTTTAATAAGGCTGAAATATTTTTGAGTAGTAATTGTATGTTTTTTGTGTTGTGTTATGAAATTTTTATATTCATAAACAGACGACCACACATTCGTACCCTGCTTAATGGTAAGTGGTCACTAATATGCGATGCAAGACCACACATTCCGCGCGGGAAAAGAGATATATTATGCCTTATGATCATTACATACCCAAGATACTAATTATAAGGCTAGTGAGATAGGTTTTTTCATTACTCAATTTTATCTTACTCGTATATTGGCCCTTTTAAGTTTTAATACTTGTTGGAATATAATGTTTATTAAGTTAATAAATTTCAAATTTATAAATTTTTGGCAATTTAGTTTTGTAGGGGGCGTTGTAAAAAGACCTGCATTCAAGTGTGTGAAAGACGAAAGTTGTGAGTGCAGATATCTCTGTAACCATATGATAGTGAAATAGTAATTTAAAAAATGAGGCCCGGGCCTAGGGCGGTATGATTGGAGGGGCGGCATACCGTAGATATGCATGTATTAAATATCATTTTAGTGTTTATTCAAATGTCAGAACATTATTTATTAAAAAATATTTATTCATTAAAAATATATCTGAAATTTTTTGTAGGAACTCCCTAATTGAAAGAAGAAAAAAAACATTGAAAATGTTATTCTAAGGGAATAAATTTATTTTATAAATATAATAAAAATATTGGATCTAAATTATTAAAATTTATTCTAACATTAAGGGCGGCGCGATTAACAGGGCCTACGGCGGCATCAACTGCATCAACTGTCACTGTTTTGGGATGATATCATAATGTATTAGGGCCTAGAAAAACAGATACCTTACACTGTAGCCCCCTAACCATTATTATAAGGCGTAACTGTATCTATCCATTTAGTTTTTTTTTCTTACCTAAGTTGGTGGTCTACATAGACCACATCAGCATCACCGGGCGAGTAGGTGAGCTCTCGGGGCTCAAACCTGACGTTGTTGCTAACACAAACCCTAGCAAGAGCCGTGCTTCGCAGAATCTATCACCGGAATCCATTTAGCTTAATTTTCTTGAATTAGATCAATTTTAAAAAACGATTTCCATATTTAATTACCACTGAACTACTTACTGTTTTTCGCTTCAATAAATTCATAGTTTTAATCATTTACAATAATAATTTCAGCCCACGCTGAAAACGATTTTGAAAAGCCACATATCAAAGTACAAGAGCGGAGCGTTCCGTTTCGCTTCGTTTCTAGGGTTGGACGTTGCAGACTACAAGTATACGAGATTGAGCCGTAACGCTGGGCCCGTGAGGAGGCTCCCAGACGCTCTCATTATTGGAGTCAAGAAGTGTGGTACGCGAGCGCTCTTGGAATTCTTAAGGTAGCCTTTAGACATAAAGATACATCTATACTAATATAATATATAAATCTACAGTGGTTTTTACGGATGTTCCGTTATAACTACTGAACCATGCATCCGATTGATTTGAAACTTTGTATCCATGTAGAAAATACGTGTACTTAATGGACAGGCTAATATTTATATGAGTGTTGGTCTCCCCACACCAGTTGCGGGGGCGTTAATGATGAGAATTTTTGTGGGGGTGAGAAATAATAATGTTAATTTTAAATGCCCAGCGAAGCGGACGAGTACAGCTAGTATTTCATAGAGGTTTCATGAGATATAAGTTCTAAAGTCTCAATATAGTTACAACGGCTGCCCCAACATTCAAACCGAAACGCATTACTGCTCCACGGCAGAAAAAGGCCGGGTGGTGGTACCTACCCGTGCGGACTCACAAGAGGTCCTACCACCAGTAAAAAAATACAATGTCTATTTAATATCAGGTTGCATCCGGACGTCCGAGCTGCGGTCTCCGAAATCCATTTCTTCGATAAATATTATCACAAAGGATTCGAGTGGTACAGGTAAGGTTGTGTTACTGTTTTCAAAATGGCATTTGAAAATTCGACTATTTTACTAGTTTAAAACGGAATATAGCTATAATATGGTAGTAGGCACATGACTAGGGTAGGAAGGACCCATAAGGGGGACCAACGACATGTTAAAGGTCACGGAAACCCGCGCTAGATGCAGACAACAGAGGACCGGTCGTTGTGACGAGTCTTGGAGGAGGCTTATGTCCAGAAGTGGACTTCTCTTGGATGAAAGAAAAAGAAGGCACATCACTAATTTATTCGTTTATAAGTGATGTGATTTCGAATTTATGCCTACCAAATCATTGGTAGCCTAAGGGGCTATTCCAACTTCACGCGGAACGGTAGGTGAGCTCATGGGGTTAACTTAAGAAAATGGCTAACACTGGCCCTGGTAAGAGCAGTGCTTCGCTGAATCTACTACCGGATCGGAATCGCGACCCACTGAGAAGATCCGGCGAGAAACTCCCGGGTTTTGCGTCTATGGGCTAGAATTTTTTTAGGACCGGTAGATCGGTCCTAAGAGAATATATTGGTTTCAGAGAACGGATGCCCTTAACATTGGAGGGTCAAATTACAATGGAGAAGACTCCGTCATATTGGGTGACGAAGTCGGCGCCAAAACGGGTCTATGCTATGAATCCTTCAATGAAACTCTTGGCTGTGGTCCGAGATCCGGTCACTAGAGCTATAAGCGATTACACCCAGTCGGCAAGGTGAGGCATTTTCGGAACTTATTTTCTGAAGAATATCGATTTTACTGGTGATAGGGCTTGGTTCTGTGAGCCCGCTTGGGTACGTACCACCACTCTGCCTTTTACTGCCGTGAAGCAGTTGTACTTTTTTTTATATTGCAGAGACGGGTTAACGGCCCACCTGGTGTTAAGTGGGTGCCGGAGCTCATAGACATGTACAACGTAAATGGTGCCACCCACCTTGAGGTATGAGTTCTAAGGTCTCATTATAATAATTACGGTTGAGACTTAAGACGGGCGGCGGTATTTACATTATTAATTCCTATGAATTTCTATGTAGTCGTCGTGGCCTAAAGGATAAGACGTCCGGTGCATTCGTGTGTAGTGATGCACCGGTGTTCGAATCCCACAGGCGGGTACCAATTTTTCTAATGAAATACGTACTCAAGAAATGTTCACGATTGACTTCCACGGTGAAGGAATAACATCGTGTAATAAAAATCAAACCCGCAAAATTATAATTTGCCTAATCACTGGTGGTAGGACCTCTTGGGAGTCTGCACGGGTAGGTACCACCACCCCGCCTATTTCCGCCGTGAAGCAGTAATGCGTTTCGGTTCGAAGGGTGGGGTAGCCGTTGTAACTATACTGATACCTTAGAACTTATATCTCGAGGTGGGTGGCGCGTTTACGTTGTAGATGTCTATGGGCTCCAGTAACCACTTAACACCAGGTGGGCTGTGAGCTCGTCCACCCATCTAAGCAATAAAAAAAAATTTCGATGAGTTCATCTACCCATTTAGGCAATAAAAAAAATTTCATCTTTATCGAAATCTGGTTAGAACTCAATTTCATATAAACACGTATGTTAGGTAAGCTAGTTGTGGACCAGCCCCTTTTGTATCAACAAATTTTAGTTTAGACACTGATGATTCTCCAAACGAAATAGTTTTGCTATAGACAATCTGACAGTAATAAAAAGTAATCAAAACTGTTTGAATTTAAACTTCTTTTTTATGTGTACCCATCAATAACTAGAATTTTTTTTTGTCAAGAATTTAAACATCCACATTTTTGGCATTATTGACGTCCATGTGGTACGAAGATCACGCACTACCTACGAAGGCATTAAACAATCGAATCATTGGCGCTTATGAAACCAGACACTTCGTTTCGTTCTCCAGTAAGCGACCCTCGCTGGCGCCATTCGAGCAACTAGCCCTGAGTAACAGGTCCGGTTGCAGCGCAGTGGACCCGACGTGGGCTCCAGTGCGGCTGGGAGTGTACGCCCGACCGCTGCGCCGCTGGTTGCGAAGGTTCCGAAGAGATAGGCTCCTGCTTGTGAACGGGGAGAGGCTCGTTGCCGATCCCGCTGCTGAAATGGCGAAAGTACAGGTCTGTATTTACTGGTGGTAGGACCTCTTGAGAGTCCGCGCGGTTTCGGTTTGAAGGGTGGAGCAGCCGTTGTAACTACACTTGAGACCTTAGAACTTATATCTCAAGGTGGGTGGCGAATTTATGTTGTAGATGTCTATGGGCTCCAGTAACCACTTAACACCAGGTGGGCTGTGAGCTCGTCCACCCATCTAAGCAATAGAACTTGTTTATGTTCAGCTACTCACGATACAGACGTACTTAGTGTGAGCTCCAAGGATGTCCATACTCAGGCGGATTATCCATAAGGCAAACTAGGCATGTGCCTAGGGGCGTGTAGTTACAAGGGGCGCGCGAGCTCAGAATTTTTAAATAAATAAAGAAAATAACATATCGATGATTAAGAACTAAATGCTGATCTATAATAGATTATATTGCACAAGCATCGATATACTCGTATTATACAATATTGCGGGTTTCTTGCGTCGTTGTCGTTCTCGAGCGTCGGGCGGGGTAAAGGCGCAGCTACAACTAGTTAAAGTTTATAGTATTATGATGGCCATTTATGGCCGGTACGGGGGCGCTGATAAAGTGATTGCCTAGGGCGCTCTGGATCTTTAATCCGCCACTGTCCAAACTTGATGAGTGAGGGAATGAGTTGCTCGCTCCGGGCATTTCAATATTGTAGTAATTGTTACGTTATAATACTCATTGTAAAAAACTCATATTAAAAAAAATAATGTAATATTAAAAAATAAATAAATAATAATTTCTTATTAAAAAAAAAAAGCATGCCCGCTGAGTTTCTTGCCAATTCTTCTCAGGACGGAGGCTAGTTCTTGTGAATTGGCGGTAGTTCTGTTGACGTTCAACAAGTATGTACTTTCATTTATGTTGAATAAAAATTTTTTTGATTTTGATTTTGATTTTGATAATTGCGTTTTGATAATAAATGATTTTGTATTGTCATTAGATATGTTTTTATAGGACTTCCTCGGCCTCAAGCGCGTGATAACAGAGAAACACTTCTATTTTAATTCAGCGAAAGGCTTCCCTTGCCTGCTGAAGTCTGAAAGCAGTTCGAGCCCACACTGCCTGGGCAAAACTAAAGGAAGGAATCATCCGCGAATCGACCCGACCGCTTTGAAGAGACTCCGCGAGTTTTATCGGCCATTAAATGAGATTTTTTATCGATTATCCGGAATTAACTTTGGGTGGCCTTGAGTGGCATGGCTTGTGATTTCAGTAGCGTTATCAGGGCTTCATAGTGATCTTAATTAAAATGGTAGCTGATAAATGTGATTCCGTGTGCGCGTTACTGATAGTGGTAAATGTCATTAACTTGATGTGTATGGTTAAGTTTTGGTTTTATGTAATGCGTATTGTGACTTTGTTTCGGCTATGAGGCAGTTTTGCGTTCCGGTCGGAAAGATGGGACAGCTACAATTTACTTCGAGGTCATAATTCGAAGTGGATGGCGGCGGCATTAACAATGTGTTTGTCTATGGGCTCTGAAACTCAACAGCTAAAGGACTAGTTTACTCAAATACCTAGTGTAAGAAAATAGAAACTGAAAAGCGCGGTCAGAGATATCATTATTTAAAACTCTGTTAGATTGTAGCTTATTCGATTTCTAGTTCCTATTTTTATTATTTCCATTTTCACAATTTTTACGATTGTGAGGAAATAAATACCTACATTAGGATGATTTTGTTACTAGATCATTTTTAGAATGCTTTATGGTAAGAATTGTAATATAGATAGATAATTTAAGTATAGGTATGTCCACATTTACAATGTACTAAATATCATTATGTATATCAGTAGTTATTAATATCAATAGATTTAGAATGTGTTGTTTTGTAACGACAAAGCATTAGTTCTTTAAATCCCTAAGAAAACTGAAAACTGAAATAGAATGAAAAGACTTTTAAGACGTAATCTCTGAAGATAGCGATAGGATCTGTTGCGTTTAGTATTTGATGTTAATGAAAGTATGCAATTTAATACGTGTGTATGATCCCAGGATCTTCTCTGTGGGTCGCGATTCCGATCCGGTGGTAGAACTAAACTTGGGCTAGAATGTCCTCCCAGGTTGAGCCCCGTAAGTTTGCCTACCAAATCGGACATAGTTAGAATAACATCTTTGGCTACCGACGATTTGGTAGGAAAAAAGGGAGAAAAAGGCTTTGAACTGTTAAGCCTCCTCGGATGCTCGAGTAGCTGTTAGCAAACCTGTCCCCTCCTGACCCTCAAATTCGCCCATTCGTTTTGACTAAGCTGCAAGATCTTTCGACAGACAGCGGCACTCTCATCGCAAAAATAAACCTGAGTTCGGCGACTAAGGAACAATATAGCAGCGGCCAAATATAAAATGGATGGGATCCAAGTTCAATGTGTTCAAAACGACTCGCCTAATGTAATTAACGAAATGAAAAAAATTAAATAAAAAACACTCAGACTAAAGTCTCATCAATCTATAGGCTTATGTATACTTATAATATAATTGTCTTCACGTAATGTACGGTTGTGTTTGTAAACGATTGACTGAAATTACAAAGTCCAATAAAATATTTGGAGAAAACTGAAAGTATTATTAAAAGGACTGAAGAAGAAGTATTGTGAATGTGTTATAAATTAAGAATAGACTTTTCTTCTATAGCTGATTAAGGTTGTATTATTAAATAATATATAGTTTTAGTAGTAGTCATAACCTTAAAAATAAACTTGAATCATTTTGTAAATAAAACAAATTCTTTTATTTCACATGAATATTTACAGTTTATCAAGCAGATTTGCACGAAATCAATCTTAATGTTTTTTTATTAACAATGCAGGGCTTTTCTAAATGTGTACAATGATCTTTACATTGGTCTTCTCTATCTTCCTGTACGTGGTGGAGACTTGGGTGTCTCAGGAAAAAGGCACGCAAAAAGATCGAGGCTTTGAAATGTATTGGTGGAGAAAGCTGCTTCGCATTCCTTGGACAGCTATGAGAAGCAATGTCTCCATCCTCGAAGAGCTGAAGGTCACCAAGCGCCTGCTGACTACGTGCCAGGAAAGGATCCGGAGTTTCTTTGGGCACATAATGCGATCCCCATTGCACAGCCTGGAGGAACTCATCATTCTCGGACAAATGGAGGGGAAGCGCGCTAGAGGAAGAGCGCCAGCTAGATGGGTGGACCAACTCAAGGAGGTGACTGGAGGCCAGATACATGGAGCGGTACATATGGCGCAGAACCGGACCGAGTGGTGATCATACAGTCACGATCCTCAGCATTGAGGGAACGACCAGAAAGAGAAAGAGAAGCATGTGGCCGGAATTGGAACTTAGGTACATGTCACCAGCTTGAGAAGTAATTTTTGATAATTTTCATTAATGATCCCAGATCGAACACCAATAACGTTTACGGGGGCTCCATAAAAATGTGTACTTTTTTATTTACTTGTAATACTAGCACGCTGGATGCAAATATTAGAGTTTACTATCGACACTATTATATCCAATTACGAAAATAGCTATGGAAAAAACAAAATTTCACTGCAAAAAACCACTATAAATGTACCTACGTCTTCCATAAAACTCCATAATTCATTGAAACTTAGTTTGTCGACTAAAGCTTTTTTAAATATTTTAGAGCATAACAACATATTATAGGTATGGGCTAATCGTCATAACGGTGAGAATAAATAAATAAGGAAAAACCATCGAGATTATAGTAGTACACACGTAGTACATAATATCTCGATGGGAAAAGCATATTTTCTTCTTATAATTTAATGTTTTAGAAAAAAACATGGCTATGGTTGGTTCAGTTTACTGCATATATGCAGTATACTGTGTACTATAGGGCAGACTTAGATAGAATAAGGGCGGGTGATTTAAAACAAAAAATGGTTAAATCAAGGGTTTTATCCCCGCCTTTAGCTACTTACATGCTGTAATATTAGTACATATAGAAACCAGATGATTTTGCATACATAAAAGTTTCGAGCTAGAACTTTCGTGCCGTCTATTTACCGAGCAATCCTCTATGAGTTGATGACCAGCAACGTAACAGCAGCCTCCACATTTGTACTGATAGCGCATCACCAACGTCCACTACCGCACTGCGGACTACTCATTGTCTCGACTCACCCCAGACTTCGAGAAGCTCTGGTACTTCCGAGTTATTGTTCGGAAAGGTTTCTATCTAGACCCAACCATGTTCGCTAGGTGGTCAGTGAGCTTAGTGTGAGTTTTTTAACGTTCTCGATAGGGCGAACAGCGCCCCTAGCGGCGAATGTAGGCAAACGTTCCAACTCCATTCAAGTTAATTTTAACGCTGTCGAGAACTTTACAAATTCGCACTAAGTACACTATTAGTAATTATAATTATTGTATTTCACGTATACGGCGCTGATCACAGCGATACACACTCGATATTTTAATATTCAAAAACCGCCTTACTCAACAAGAAAAACCACTGAAATCAATATAAAAGGAATTTTATTTACATTATTCGTTAGGCATATACACTGGTAATACGATTGGTTTTATTTGTACATATGAGATACTGCCTAGGCCTACAACGGCGAATATTGTCGGTACATCATCTTCGTATTTCGATATTAGAGCTGAGACATCCGCTGCTGATGGAAGGCAACATGATTCGCTGAAAAACGAAAACAAAATGACTAGGGATCATGGATAAGCTGACATTATTAAATTAAAATTGTAAAAATGACGGTAAGTAGTAAAAAAAATGTAGTTCGAATGATGAAATATTACATACAATACATAGATATATACATACAAAATACATAGATAAGAAATATATATCAAATAAAATAAATTATATAAACCACAGCATACTACAAAACAATCATCTGGGCTTTGAAAAAGAGATCATGTATGTACTTCCCTTAATTAATATTTAGCTACCCACAATTCTGAGTTCGCATTCCTAAAGTTGTATTGTGGCCGTTCTATGTACGCAATTTATTCATATTTTAAAACATTTGCTTTTAAGGTACCGGCTCGGTTTAGTCTAGACGTCGCGTCAGTTTTTATCGATCGCGTTAATTATTCGATTTAAGTTGACTTCATTAATAAACTACACCTTATTTTTTTGTTATTAATCATATTGGATGTTTCGAATGTTTTACGGAGGAGTGAATTGGTTTTCGTTAGTATTTCAAATATATTGCTAAATACCGTCTATTTATTTATAAATTTTTTCTAAACTTTCACATCTTATTTTCAATCAAAAAAGCGATATTAAATTATATTAGCAGTTCTAAGTATTTGTGGTTTTGTTTGTTTGTTTACTTGCTTACTTGTTCGTGATCTTAGCGTGCGCAAAACGTTTACCCGTTCGACTAGAAACTTAATAAAGTTTTTAGCACTTCCAAAAAGTATTTTGTCAACCTTCGGGGAATATTTAACTACGGTGCAATTTTATTAAATAATAAACTTTATAAGTCAAACTTAAATACTCACTCGATACAGCTCAAACGGAAATCTGGCTTTGGCTTGTTGCTTTTTCTAAAACTCTTTATACTTCTGTTGTAAACATCAAAATCTATTCGGAGGCTGGTCTCCTCTGGAATGTGAGTGTCTGCGGTTATTATTTGCAATTTTTCTAACATCTTCGGCAAGTCCGAGAAATCACCTGGCTTCACCAGGGGCTGCAGAGCAGACGTGTCAGCGCTAGTTGACGGAATTTGATTCTTATAGTGTTTATTGGTGATTTCGATACATTTTAAGAAAGCTATTTTAATTTCTAACCAGCTTTCGTACTTATTCGGGCACTCCGATATGAGACTGTAGATATAGCCGCTGTTGAAAATGTCTGTAATGCGTGCGTTGTCGCGTCGGACGACTTCGGCTCGACCGAAATCATCATCACTCGGATACCAGTGCTTACTGAGTTCGTCTGGTCTCCGATGTTTTGTGTCGTATGGTTTTACAATTTCCGATTCAGGTTCACCGTTGTTGTCCTTATCGATCGTACATTGCACGTTGCGAATTTCGTTAAAACGCTTTATAATATTAAATGGATTCTTCAATTTCTTGGTGAACGCATTTGGTTGATTCAATGCGTCTTCGGAGTCGGAGCTCGTGTCCAGTACCACTTGCCTCCGGTCGATCATGTCGTAGTTGCTGTTCATGTATATGTCTGCGTTGAAAGACTTGTTGAAAGTTTTAATGGCGTTCGAAAACGCCCTTCGGTGCCGAGACGTGACTTGGTCTTTCTCGTTCAAATCTTTCAACTTCAACGCTAGCTCTTTGAGCTTGTTGAAGTTTTCCGAGAAGGTGTCTTCGTTGACTCTTTGCCTTTTATTTTGAGATTCTTCCTCGGTATCCAATTCAATAGTTTCAATAACGACCGTCTCGTCAACGAGATCAAAGTTATCGGTGAGGGTCAATTTACACTTGTAACTGTGGTTGTAAGTCTGTATGACTTTTTGTATGGACTGTATATTTGATATCTGCAGATTCCCCGAAGCGATCAGCCTCTTCAGCCTCCCGGCGAGGTTCTTGATTATTTGCAAATGGTACATCCGTGTGTCGCGTGGTCGTTTCCGGGAGTTCCTCGTGCCTTGTGCGTTTTCAACGTTCGTGTGGGCGTTCCTCATGTCCGGGTATGATCTGAAAACCGGATGCACCCTCGGTTGGAACTGAAACCTCGGTACGAAATACTGAGGAAAGTATGGCCTCTGAAAGAACATGTTAAAATGAAAGTAGTTGAAGTTCCCGCGCGGCCTCCACCAGTTGTAAGGTCTGTATTGATTGGTCATTCTTGGTGTGCTCGTGTTCGGGTAGAAATGCGTCGCGGTGGGTATTTCGTTACGCGAACCGTTCCCGATGCTCTTAAGCGACTCGTTTGGTTCATCGGAGGATGTGTAGGATAAGTTGCTCGACGTATTTCTAACGTCTTTAGTTTTAAGATTCTCGACGTTGAGCACGTATGACGTTTTATTTACGTAAATGTTCTTAGGTATGAACTGTTCTTCGGGCGCCTTCACGGTCGCAAACGTTTTCTGATACAAGTCCGGTATCTTTTTGAAATTAATTTCGAGTGCATTGGCATTAGTGGATTTGTATTTACGTTCCAAAAGTTTTCGTAGCTTCATCTCGTTTAAGTTTTGTTCGGTTTCGTCATTCGATTCGCGAGTGCTACTAGCGGCCTCAGCTGACACGTCTGTATCAATACTATGAGTGTTTTTATCAGGAACTTCTTTACGTGTCAAATCTTCAACATCTGTAATTCAATTGATACAAAAAATAATTAATTATAGACTTTACTAATTATAGAATTTACTGGTGGTAGGACCTCTTGTGAGTTCGCGTGGGTGGATACCACCACCCTGCCTATTTCTGACGTGAAGCAGTAATGCGTTTCGGTTTGAAGGGTGGGGCAGCCGTTGTAACTATACTTGAGACCTTAGAACTTATATCTCAAGGTCGGGGACGCATTTACGTTGTGGATGTCTATGGGCTCCAGTAACCACTTAATACCAGGTGGGCTGTGAGCTCGTCCACCCATCTAAGCAATAAAAAAAAAAGACTAATTTAATTAATGTGAACCAATAATCAGTAGGGTAAATGGTAAGAGATCTCGTGGACAAATCCCCATGCGCTGGACTGATCAGGTGAAAGACCTTACTGGAACCCCACTTAACGAGTGCGTGCGCCAAGCCTCAGTTCGCAAACTATAGAGAACATCTGTCAAGGCTTTAATAAACAAGAATTCCACATGACCACTCCTGTTGTGCCAAGAGCAACCGACTATGATGATGATAAACCAATAATGTTGTTGTACGATTTATGAGTGATTTAAAAAATATAATAGTCTAGTTATCGTGGCCTAAAGGATAAGTTGTGCGGTATATTCATATTCAGAGATGCTACTATGTCGGTGTTCAAATCCGGTAGGAAGAAATCTAATTATTTGGTGAATGTATACTTGGCACACGTCACCTGTGATTCTAGCGACGAAAGATCAACACCGTTTTGGAACACACAAAAAATATTAATTGCGTAAAATTACTGGTGGCAGTGTATTGAAAGAACACTCTTTTCAGAGCGGTCGTAGTTGTCATCCAGCATCATTGCTGTGGGCAGATGTGCCTCTCACGAGCAATCGCCACTCCTCGCGGTTTGTGGCGAGCCTGGTACACTCATGCAAACAGCCGCCAACTGCCGACTTGATCTGATCGGTCTTTTATAAGTGAAGAATTACTGGTGGCCCGGAGGCCCTTTCAGGACAGGTGGGCGAGCAAGGAGGGGTGGGATTAGCTAATAGCTGCCTGAGCGCCTCCGAAGGAGACCGGACAACTCGAGAGCAGCTGCTTCGCGGATGAATCTACTACCAGATCGAAATCGCGACCCGCTCAAAAGATCCGACTAGAAACTCAGCGGGCTGATTCGTGGGTTATGTTCCACATCGAACTCGGGGAAGAGTTCGGTACTGTTACCGGGAGTAGGTAACTACTTAGGACAAAGTCGACATGAGCTCGCTCATGGGTATAAACAAAAAAAACTCACATCCACACCATTGGCTACTTGTCTGTTATAGTACATTTACTAAATAATTTGTTATAAGCATTCCAAAAAATGTCGGTCTACTGAGCAATAAAATAAAATTGTTGTATCTACCTGTATTTTTGTTGTTTTGTTTGGAAGAATCATTTTCAATAACAACAGTAAGTTCATCATCGCTTTCACAATCTACAATGTGAGTGTTATCAATTTCTTGGCTGCTGGTAGCAATACTTTCATTATCATTTGACTGTACTTCATCATAGGCATTGTTTTCACTATTTTTATTTGATATCTCAGATCCATCATAAATTTTTTTGTTAGCATGTCTTTCAGTAGTTCGAGTACCAATTTCAGTAATACCATAATCAATTTCCATGTTACTTTCACTACTAACATCAGTATCTTTATTTGTTATCTTATTTCCTAATTTATCTTCACTAGAATTTGTTTTTTCTTTCTTATTAACAACATGTCTGTAGACTTTACATCCTAATCTACTGAGTGACGCATAAACTTGATATTGCAGTAACAACAGTTCTTCATTAAGTAATATTGAATATGCTTCTTGTAATGACATTGTTATACCATTATTGTTAAGACGCAGACAGTTCTGTAAATTAAAACATTTTGATTTATTCAACCTGCTTAATTAAAATGTCTACCAATTTAAAATGTAGGTTATAGTTTTATTTTCAGTCTGTTTACAATTCTCTTTTTTAAATTTTAACTGAAGTTACTTAAAGAATTTTAAAAGAGTCACAGATTTTTTAAGCCTAAAGCATATGCTTGAATCAAAGAATATGCATTTCAATATCTGATTTTAATATTTAATAGTGGAGTATATCATAGGCCTACATGTGTAGGTCCGACCAACTACCAATTTCTCATGCAAACAATCATGTGTTCCTGTTTGAAGACTTCAAACTCATGTCACAAGGTGGGTGGCAGCATTTACATTGTGTTATCTCTAGATTCTGTTGACCACACAACACCTTGTGGGTTTAAAGGCTTGTTCACCTATCAAGCTACTAAAGAAAAAAACTATTACTCTTTAACATAATCGACATAAATGCTATGAAAAAAACTAATACCATAGACTCACACTTTCCATTAAAAATAGTGCTTCTTCAGGTTTTAGGTACAATTTTTTTCCTTGATGATGTCCATAGAACTGCCAGTATCCACCAGTTTGTCGAATCACTTCAGCAAGCCTTAAATCGTTTCTCCATTCAGCATGTGATAAACTACCTCTGAAATGATAAAAAAAACTGTGTTACTGTTACTCTATTATGAACTTATTACATGTATTTTATTTATTACACGACAATGTCAAATAAGGAGTGCAGCATTTTAAGTATCGAGTGAAAACCAATAGAAGAATATTTTGTAAAAGTAATCATAATTTACACAATTTATAGTGCTTTGTAAAAATGTTGATTTTTTGTATTTATGCACTACACATTTCCAATGAAATTTTAATTTTAACAAGTTAAAACTTTGGATTGGATTGATTATTTAGTGATAATTGGTTGTGATAAAGTGTGCAGAATAACTCATAATATGCAGGCATTAAAACCTTCAGAGTGCTTATGTTTAGTGGTTTCATATTATGTTATAACTTACTGTTTTTCTATCCTATTAACTTCGATTAAATGTTTTCTAGCTTCCAAAGCCACTTGTATTTGTTTTTGCTCTAACCAAGAACCGTTTGGTACAACTTCTTTGAGGCCAATGATGGGCAGTGCACCTTCAGTTCTCGTTACACCCTTTGCTACTAACTCTTCTCCTCTATAAATTGTAATTCCATGTTTCGAATATAAATTAATTAAATTGATACCAAATATTCATATAAAAGCATTTAGAATAAATATACTTACGATATGAGTTTTGGATCAGGCATTGTTTTCCAATGTTAGAGAAATGTGCTTGTCTTAAAATTAGGAAAATTTAACATACCCTCAATAATTCAATTATTTCACTTTTCAGTTTCAGATAGGTAGTCACAGAAGAGAAATACATTTTACCTACAATAATTTTATAACATTTCTCAATTAGGAGGTAGAAGAAATTTTTAAGTTAATTCTTGGAATAAAAGATAATTAATTCATTCATAATCATTTCTTAATGATTGCAAAACACGTAAATAAGAAAACTATGAACCGATCTCCTTTAGATTTTCTTCTTTGGAAAGTCGAAGTTATCATATCTTTTTTTTACGGGATTTGATGACTTGGTAACTAAGACCTTTAGGTCGTGTCTTATTTTAATTTATATTCATATTTTTATGAAGAATGATAATATGGAGTAAATGAAATGAAATGAAATGAAATGAAGATAATGAATTCGAGCCATTAATCAGCTGGTATGAAATTAAATGAAATGGGATGAAAATATAATATTATAATCTCAGTAAAATGGTGGTCATTTACTGAGATTTTACCAGTGGAGTTTTTGGAGGATCCCGAGAAGCTACGTGCAGCGGCTTTGTTTCATTTACCCACTTTCAAAGATATTAAACAGTTAATAGAAGTCGTCGTGGCCTAAAGGATAAGACGTCCGGTGCATTCGTATATAGCGATGCACTGGTGTTCGAATCTCGCTGGCGGGGACCAATTTTTCTAATGAAATACGTACTCAACAAATGTTCACGATTGACTTCCACGGTGAAGGAATAACATCGTGCAATAAAAATCAAACCCGCAAAATTATAATTTGCGTAATTACTGGTGGTAGGACCTCTTGTGAGTCCGCACGGGTAGGTACCACCGCCCCGCCTATTTCTGCCGTGAAGCAGTAATGCGTTTCGGNTCTAAACAATAAAAAAAGACTAATTTAATTAATGTGAACCAATAATCAGTAGGGTAAATGGTAAGAGATCTCGTGCACAAATCCCCATGCGCTGGACTGATCAGGTGAAAGACCTTACTGAAACCCCACTTAACGAGTGCATGCGACAAGCCTCAGTTCGCAAACTATAGAGAACATCTGTCAAGGCTTTAATAAACAAGAATTCCACATGACCACGACTGTTCTGCCAAGAGCAACCAACTATGATGATGATGAACCAAAAATGTTGTTGTACGATTTATGAGTGATTTGCAAAATATCTATCTAGTCTAGCTATCGTGACCTAAAGGATAAGTTGTGCGGTAGATTCATATTCAGCGATGCTGTGTCGGTGTTCAAATTCCGTAGAAAGAAATCTTTTTTTGTGAAATACTTGGCACACGTCACCTGTGATTCTGGAAATGAAATATCAACACCGTCTTGTAATCCAGAAAAAAATATTAATTGCGTAAGGACAGAAACCAACTACTACCCCTAGACCTAGGTGGGACAGCAATTATACCATACAAGTCCTCATAGTTCAAGATGGGTGACAGCATCGATGATGTGATGTCTTTATGCTCCAGTAACTACTTTTTTTTATAAGAGAAGAATTACTGGTGGCTCGGAGGCCCTTCTAGGACAGGGGCGAACACGACTCAGCCAGGGGTGGGAGTCCAGTCACCGTTCTCGTTGAACCCGCTTGCGACGAAGGGCTCAACGAGTAAATTAACCCTCGGACACAGCCCACTGAGTTTCTCACCGGATCTTCTCAGTGGGGCGCGTTTCCGATCCGTAGGTAGATTCTGCGAAGCATGGCTCTTGCTAGGGTTCGTGTTAGTAACGTCGTCAGGTTTGAGCCCCGTGAGCTCACCTACTAGTTAAGGTTACGCTGGAATAGCCTCTCAAGGCTACCGGATTAGGTAGGAAAAAAAAGGTGGGATTAGCTAACAGCTTTGAAGGAGACCTGGCAACTAGAGTGCAGCTGCTTCGCGGATGAATCTACTACCAGATCGGAATCGTGACCCGCTCAAAAGATCCGGCGAGAAACTCAGCGGGCTGATGCGTGGGTCAGCTTGTACATCGAATTCGGGAAAGAGTTCGGTACTGTTACCAGGAGTAACTACTTAGGACAAAGCCGACATGGGCTTGCTCATGAGTATAAACAAAAAAAAAAAAACACCCATCCACACCTTGGCTACTTGTCTGTTGTACTACATTTACCAAATAATTTATTATAAACATTCCAAAAGAACAACATTTGTAATGTCGGTCTACTGAGCAATAAAATAAAATTGTTGTATCTACCTGTATTTTTGTTGTTTTGTTTGGAAGAATCATTTTGAATAACAACAGTAAGTTCATCATCGCTTTCACAATCTACAATGTGAGTGTTATCAATTTCTTGGCTGCTGGTAGCAATACTTTCATTATCATTCGACTGTACTTCATCATAGGCATTGTTTTCACTATTTTTATTTGATATCTCAGATCCATTATCATTTTTTTTGTTAGCATGTCTTTCAGTAGTTCGAGTACCAATTTCAGTAATACCATAATCAATTTCCATGTTACTTTCACTACTAACATCAGTATCTTTATTTGTTATCTTATTTCCTAATTTATCTTCATTAGAATTTGTTTTTTCTTTCTTATTAACAACATGTCTGTAGACTTTACATCCTAATCTACTGAGCGACGCATAAACTTGATATTGCAGTAACAACAGTTCTTCATTAAGTAATATCGAATATGCTTCTTGTAATGACATTGTTATACCATTATTGTTGAGACGCAGACAGTTCTGTAAATTAAAACATTTTGATTTATTCAACCTGCTTAATTAAAATGTCTACCAGTTTAAAATGTAGGTTATAGTTTTATTTTTGGTCTGTTTACAATTCTCATTTCTAAATTGTAAATGAAGTTACTTAAAGAATTTTAAAAGAGTCACAGATTTTTTAAGCCTAAAGCATATGCTTGAAGCAAAGAATATGCATTTCAATATCTGATTTTAATATTTAATGGTGGAGTATATCATAGGCCTACATGTGTAGGTCTGACCAACTACCAATTTCTCATGCAAGCAATCATGTGTTCCTGTTTGAAGACTTCAAACTCATGTCACAAGGTGGGTGGCAGCATTTACATTGTGTTATCTCTAGATCTGTTGAACACATACCACCTTGTGGATTAAAAGCTTGTTCACCTATCAAGCTACTAAAGAAAAAAAACGATTGCTCTTTAACATAATCGACATAAATGCTATGAAAAAACCTAATACCATAGACTCACACTTTCCATTAAAAATAGTGCTTCTTCAGGTTTTAGGTACAATTTTTTTCCTTGATGATGTCCATAGAACTGCCAGTATCCACCAGTTTGTCGAATTACTTCAGCAAGCCTTAAATCGTTTCTCCATTCAGCATGTGATAAACTACCTCTGAAATGATAAAAAAAAACTGTGATACTGTTACTCTGCTATGAACTTATTACACATGTTTTGTTTATTACATGACAATGTCAAATAAGGAATGCAGCATTTTAAGTATCGAGTGAAACCCAATAATTACAAGAGAATATTTTGTAAAAGTAATCATAATTTACACGATTTATAGTGCTTTGTAAAAATGTGGATTTTTTGTATTTATGCACTACATATTTCCAATGAAATTTTAACTTTAACAAGTGTAAACTTTTGATTGGATTGATTATTTAGTGATAATTGATTGTGATAAAGTGTGCAGAATAACTCATAATATGCCGGCATTAAAACCTTCAGAGTGCTTATGTTTAGTGGTTTCATATTATAACTTACTGTTTTTCTATCCTATTAACTTCGATTAAATGTTTTCTAGCTTCCAAAGCCACTTGTATTTGTTTTTGCTCTAACCAAGAACCGTTTGGTACAACTTCTTTGAGGCCAATGATGGGCAGTGCACCCTCAGTTCTCGTTACACCCTTTGCTACTAACTCTTCTCCTCTATAAATCGTAATTCCATGTTTCGAATATAAATTAATTAAATTGATACCAAATATTCTTAAAGCATTTAGAATAAATATACTTACGATAGGAGTTTTGGATCAGGCATTGTTTTCCAATGTTAGAGAAATGTGCTTGTCTTAAAATTAGGAAAATTTAACATACCCTCAATAATTCAATTATTTCACTTTTCAGTTTCAGATAGGTAGTCACAGAAGAGAAATACATTTTACCTACAATAATTTTATAACATTTCTCAATTAGGAGGTAGAAGAAATTTTTAAGTTAATTCTTGGAATAAAAAATAATTAATTCATTCATAATCATTTCTTAATGATTGCAAAACACGTAAATAAGAAAACTATGAACCGATCTCTTTTAGATTTTCTTCTTTGGAAAGTCGAAGTTATCATATCTTTTTTTTACGGGATTTGATGACTTGGTAACTAAGACCTTTACGTCGTGTAATTTATATTCATATTTTTATGAAGAATGATAATATGGAGTAAATGAAATGAAATGAAATGAAATGAAGATAATGAATTCGAGCCATTAATCAGCTGGTATGAAATTAAATGAAATGGGATGAAAATATAATATTATAATCTCAGTAAAATGGTGGTCATTTACTGAGATTTTACCAGTGGAGTTTTTGGGAGGATCCCGAGAAGCTACGTGCAGCGGCTTTGTTTCATTTACCCACTTTCAAAGATATTAAACAGTTAATAAACTACCGTTTTTACACATTTAAACCTGAAGAAAGACTAAATAGACAAAATAAAACAAATTACAGAACTTCACTCCTTGCGTTCCCGCTAAAAAGTCTTTTTTTTTTAAGAGATTTTATGTCCTGGTAACTGAAATCTTTAAGTCATGCCAAAAAGTCCTCTTCAAACTTGCATAGATTATACACCATAGATAATATAGATATGAGTCGTCTATTATCAAAGGTGGCAATCTGTGCGTTTGGACGAAAAAATGTTATTGATAAGTTAATACAGATTGATTTGAATATAATCGTCTCCTTCAAAGAATACGGTTCAAAACCTGCATTAAATAAAGGTTAATACTTAACCTGTTATTTATCTAAGATGTCGTTCAGAAGAGTTTTGTGACTGCCAATGGAATACAAAGTCAATAATTCGTTTTTCTGATTTACCAATTATTGTCCAAAAGTCACATTGCCGGCTTTGATAATAGTCGACTCATATGTTATACACTGATGAAAATAATTACGGTACTCTCTACCGGCAGTCTAACACCAATTTAAATAACAACTATATACTGAAAGCACCACAAAACTTATATACGGTTGCAAGATGTAGTTTCTGGAATTTTCCGAATTTCAATATTTTTTCCAAAATGGTGCATTTCAAAAATTAGAAAAAGGAAAGAATACAATACGAGAATACATAACAATGGAGACAGTATTATATAGTCGTATATTTTTAAATTCTTATTTATTTATTGCTAAATAGCGTCCGAAAGCCTATTTTTTATTTTTATAGAGCAATATTAATTTCCAAAAAAAATATCCACCGTGTCTAGAATTAGTATTCCAAATATAATACTTTTTGCAAATGATTTCTCTCCATCGAATTTTTCTCCAAATATTCCCCACTAACTTATTTTTTCCTTTAAAGGAGAAAGTAAAACATCTGACCTGATAGTGCTGTCATGGCAGTCATGTGTCAAATGTCGAAAACTTTCCTGTTTTGCCACTGAAGTAGGAAATCTATGTGTTTTGCTCACCTAATCTTTTTTTTCTTACTTAGTTGCAAGTAGTCTAAGGGGTGTTGGACGGTAAAATTTGAGGGAATTGGGTTCTGTAGGTTGATGAGGGGCTATTTAAAAACACACTGCTATATTATAATTACATTGCAAATACTTTGAACACTATTACACCATTATTTTATTTTTATAAAAACTCTTAGATGTTGCTCTGACCGTGTCTAGATGAGAAGTCATTGTCTTCACCGACGAGAAGACAATTATTTGTTTTAAACATTTAAAATAATTCCAATATTCGAAATTTGTAACCTTACATGTGTCAAGTGTTGCCTGCCATTACTTTCATATTAAAATTCCAACAAGGGGCTATTCCAGCTACGCGCGGATGGGACACCTGATTAAGTAACACGTTCATGAATGGAAGAAAACTGCATACTGAATCCAGATTGAGTGAAGATTGTTTTTGTCTAAGTATACTGGCGTGGAAAAACTTTACTTAATATAATATATATGTATATAAATATATATACCCAACCATTTACAGAAAGCCTATTAAAAATTATTTATACAATGATAGTATTTGTTAAATCTCAAAAAGAAATAAAAGAGGTGATAATCTGAAAATAATGTCATAAAGCAGACATAAAAAGAAATACATATTAAAACTAGGTAGGAACTTCCTATAAAATGTAGAGCAGAGATAAAGAGAGAGAGAAAAGATGTACTTTTTTTCCTACCTATGCTGATACCCTTGAGAGGCTATTTCAGCTTCTCCTTGACGTGTAGGTGAGCTCACGGGGCTCTGACCGGGAGTGTTGGTAACACTGGCCCTAGCACGAGCAGTGCTTCGCAGAATCTACCACCGCATCGGAAACACGACCCACTGAGAAGATCCGGCGAGAAACTCAGTGGGCTGTATCTGTGGGTAAATTCACTCGTCGAGCCTTTCATCGCAAGCGACGTGTTCGGCGAGGATGGTGACCAGTGCTTGTGGTAGATACCTAAAAGCACCGTAGAGATGTACAGTAACTTTTCACGAAATGAAAGTATGGGATTCGGGTTTGAAAACTTACTGTTGATTTTAATAATTTTTTATAGTTAGATTTTAATCATTTTTTATACTTAGGACAAGTGACCGACATCCACTTGAGGTTAATTGGTTACTAGAAACCATGGACATCACAAACGTGAATGCTATATTATTATGAAGCATACGAACATAATAATTATGTGATGAATAGAATACAACTTTTAAGTTTTAACTGAAAAGCTATGGATAGTTGCATGCTACGCAACTAAAGGAAAGCAATTAAAAATAAAATCTGAATGTATAGGCTACTTTTCTTAAATAGCCTGTCGAAATAATAATCGAAGTCGAAAATAAACAAAAAGAAATAAATTTCATTGCTTTGTTGGTACCTACCTCGTACCTACGTTTTGATAACAAACTGGTCAAACTTATTAAAAAAATGACAAATTCAAAATAAGCATGCGTGATTAACTAAAAAGTCAAAACGATTCACTAGATGGCATTAGTTGTTTGGATATCTAATTATGAATGAAGCTGCTGATGTTCAAATAAATACGTTTTCTTTAAAAAAATCTTACACGTATGTACTAGTTAATGCTTATTTCAAGCGAATTGTTTTATGTGAGAATTAAAACCTGTAAATGTATTCTTGTAACTTGTAATTTCTAAATGAATTCTTATTTATTTTGAGAACTTAATATGATCTGAATCATTTCTAATTTCAGGGACTTGAAATGGGATGAATGCATTGCACTACTTTGGTCAATGGTCGCCACTAGAGGTGTAATCTTGTAGTACGTCCGTAGTAGCTACGCCGTAGTCCTACGTGTCCGTTGTGTATCGATTAGTTACCCGTAAATTCTCGACGGAACCCGACGTCTTCCGAACTCTGCCGATGTTACCCGACAGCTACGTCCACACATTGCGGAAGTAATGAAATGTACAAAAAGATATGAAGCGGAAAAATTGTCGCTGTCTTTTTCTTCACGTCGCATCTTATCCCGTTCCTAAAAAGGATTCTTTTGTCGATTTTCCCTTTCAGCGCATTTACCGAAAGCGATGACGAATGAATAGGTACATTAAATTGTAAAAGCTAAAATTGTAACGTTTTGATATTAATTTATATTTCACATATATAAATAAATGCGCATTTAACAATTTAATCTTAAATATATATAATCTAAGCGATGACTAGAACTTTTGGGTTAATTATATAGGTAAGTACGGATAAAAAGAAACGCATGTACATGTTTATGCGTAGATTGAAAAATTGAATTTAAAATACAAAATTTTACTGATAATCTTGTTATTTTTTTATAAAGAGCCAGTGTGAAAGCACCGTGAAGGATCAAAATAGCTATCAAAACTGATCGTCAGCTTTGATAGCTATTTCAGTAACGCCAGACAACAAGAAATAGCGTGAAACGTGTACTCAACAACTTTAATGGTTTTGTTTATAATGGCTGCGTACCTATTGGGCGACACCAGCAGGGTGTAAGTGACTACGACTAGGGTGGCGCACCCTTGAATACGTACCGCGTTATTTATGGTATATTTTGACGTACAGACTCACTGCTAACTTCACGTAGCTGGGCATACAGGGTGATGGATGGATAGTGTTATCGGTGTTTTTCGCCGTAGTCCGTGCTTAGACCGTACTTTTTATTACTGTGCTTTACGGAAATCCCCTAATACGTCAGAGTTGTTCATGGAAATCACGTTATTTCAATGAAATTAGTGGCTGACGCCCGGTGTTTCTTCATATTTCGTTTCATATTTATGTGTAAAGCGAACTATATACAGCCCTTTTCTTATATTTTGCGAAACAAATGCAATTCTTGTGATGTGATTTCTTTAACTAGGAGTACTTCGAGCCCCTATACTGATTTAAAATACAAGGTAAGTTATAATTAATATCTTTTAAACTATTATAAATGTATTTGTGTGATAATATATTTTCGTAAAGGTTTAAAAGTCGCTGTTGACAAAAAGCTAAACTATTACTTTAAGTTTCGTTCAATTTATGTACCCATGTTTACAATTTGTGTTTACATTTGTACCAATTGCTAATTAGGTTTTATTGGCCCTGTGTAGTAAACATTCAATTTATTTAAAACAGTGACATCTACCGGTTGACACTTAAATCTTTTATTAGTTCAGAGCTATGCCACAGTCAGCGCCAAAGTGTCAGACGCCGACACGCCTGCAGTCACGCGGCGTTGACGCGCGTCGCAACTTGTTTGCGTGGGTGTAGATCGTTTCGTGATAAAACATTTCATGTTTTCTTTCTTATCAACTAAACAGAGCAGTGCTACACGTTTGTATCTATGAAGGTTGCATTATTATGCTATCGTAAAAAGTTCGATAAGTGTTCCTTGTGTCATAAATGAAAAGTGCAAGTTCACGAGTGTGTTTTGTTGTTGCTGACTTTGGAGACAGGATTTCGTCCGTGCCGTGAAGGTCTAGGGCCGGCATGAGGAAAATAAACGGTGAGAATTCAAACATAAGAAGCTTTTCTGCATGATTGTAACCTACTAACACAAGATAACAAAATGTCATCAAGAGGTGGCCAAAGATAAGAAAAAGGGAACACGTGAAGTATGGACTCGAGAAAAACCGCAA